GAGGTGAAACACTGAAAACATTCAACCACTGAACTTTTACACTTTTTGTTATGTTGCAACAATAAACCTCAAAGGTGCTTAACTGCAAATACGCAGTTTTAAAGGGCCGGTGTTGCGTAAAATCCACTTTTTTATCCATCCACCATGTTTTTATGTTTTTCCCTCACTAAAATCAAATCTGGAGTGTTGCCCTGATTCTTTCAATTCCTTTAATCTCCATTCAGCTGTTCAAAATGGCTGGAGGGACCAAGCCCCGCCCCCGAGGCGCAGCTCCTCCCCCACTAAGCTCCTCCAGACTAGCCAGCAGCAATTAGCAACCAGCTGAGCTCATTACAGGAGCTGCTGCTCAGAGCAACGCTGGTAAAAACCTGAAAGGGTTAATAGAGGAGCCATGTTGGGACGACTTCCTGGAGGCGGAGCTTCAGAAAGAGCAAGAGCTTCTTAAAGAGTCAGAGGCCCAATTTCAAGGTGTTTAATTACCCTCACCCCATTTTTATGCAAAAATGTATGTTTACTAGAAATAACTCAGAAATTTTCAAGAAAAAAAAATAGAAATCTTTGAGTTTAAAAAGTCAAATATTGGCTGGAAAAAAACAGAACATTTTCAGATTAATCTCAGAAATGTTCAAGTTTTTTCTAGATTTATTTATTTATTTTATTACTTTTGAATCTCAGAAACGTCTCAGTTAATCTAAACAGTGTTTACCTGGTTCCTGCTCGCCTGCTGCTGTCTGACCTCCTGCTGTGAGTTGGCGTGAGGTTTGTTGACGTTCAGGCCGATTATGACGAAGTTTCTTCCTGCTCGTCGTTCTTTCTGCTCCTTCAGCATCTGAATGAACACGAGACGTGAAACGTTTCCACAAATGATTTTTCTTATGCAGAGAAACAAACAAAACAAAAGGAGCAGAAACGACGACTTCCAGCTGAACTTTGACCTGATTTAAAGAGACAGCGACTCGCTTTACTCATCCAATCATCCATCCAGCTGATGGAAACTGTCCAAAACATGATTAACTATAATTACTGGTCATTTAAATTATTATCCAGTTATTTTATTTTTAGGAAGATGAGATCATTTTTTTGGACTCATTTTCATCTTGTGACCTCGGAGGTGAAACATTTTAATCTTAAATGTGAAACCAGACGACGTCGCAGCGTTTCCAGGCTGAGTGATGTCACAAACGACCGGCCATAAACCTCAGCTGGAAATCCCCGCTGTAGGTTTTATTTTACTGACTCCGCCCTCCTCCGGCCTCCATCGCTGCGCTGCGGGGTCGTGGGGTCACGACGGCCATTAGCTTCCTGACAGGAACGCCCCCCGCCCAGGAGCAGGGGCCGGGTCCCCCCTGAGCGGCCCCGCCGCCTGGAGGGCCGCCGCTGTTTGTTTGCTCTGCGGCGTTTCCGTGAATTCTGACCCAGCAGGAAGCAGGACAATGGACCATTGTAGGAAAATACTTTCTGCTGCTGCAAAACCCAACAGGAAAGGACAGAGAGACGGACAGACAGGAGGACAGAGAGACTTTATGTCGCCTTGGTGACCCTTGGCTCCTCCAGGTTCACCTTAAAGGGGCAGTATTATGTCTTCCAGGCACTTCCTGTCCATCAGTCCTTTCATGCATCAATCATCCGTCCATCTGTCCATGGCCGTTACCAAGATTACCTTCAGTTGTAATTTAAATACAATATATACAAAATATAATGCATGGAAATAAATTTAATGTCCTGATTTTAATTCCTTTAAATTGGGCCTCTGTCTCTTTAAGAACTCCTGCTGTTTCTGAAGCTGCGCCTCCAGGAAGTCGTCCCAACATGGCTCCTCTATTAACCCATCAGTGTTTCTACCAGCTTTACTCTGAGCAGCAGCTCCTATAATGAGCTGGTTGCTAATTGCTGGTGGCTAGTCTGAAGGAACTGAGAGGGGGAGGAGCTGCGCCTCGGGGGCGGGGCTCGGTGGCCAGCTGAATGGTTACCATGATGATTAAAGTGTTTCTCAAACATTAAGTAAATTCTCAGGTGTTTGTTCCTGAAACTCTGCTCAGGTAAAAACCTTTAAAAGAGGGAAGGAAGAGATCAGGCAGAAAGAGCTGCTGAATCCATGTGTCACAGAGCAGCCGGAGTGCTGCTCTGTGACCGTGACCTCTAGAGCTGTGGGTGCTGACAAAGCTGAGTTTAGCTGACCTTTCCAGAGCCGTGACCTCTAGAGCTGCGATAAAAGGCCAGCGAAGAGTGTTAGCATGATGAGGAATGTCTGCCTGAGCCGTGGAGCATGACTGGCTTCCCTCACACACACACACACACACACACACACACACACACACACACACACACACACACACACACACACACACACACACACACACACACACACACACACAGAGACACACAAAGCTGCACTTTTACTGCAGCTCTGCATTCACAGTGTCATTATTTATTGGCAGCAATGTAAACATTCATGAAGTCCTTCATATTCATGCCAGTCTCATGATAACCCTTCAAATTAAGAGTTACCAAATATTTTGAGATAGCGGCATCTTGTTAAAGATCGGTGATCAGCCTGAAAACTGCAATCGGTTCATTAAACCAAATGTCCTTATGAAGGCGCTTCCTGTTTCTGCCTTTAAGGTTTGGTCGCTGGGTAACATTCCTCTTCCTGCGCCAACAGGAAGCCAGTCCTAAGACCTTTCTGATGTTGATTTCTGGAGCGCCATCTTGGCCGTAAATCTTCCTGTTTCAGCCATTTATAGCCAGCCGGCCTCTCGCTACACACACCGTCCTGAGGGAGAAACCAAGCGGCCTCAGTCAGAGCTGCAGGCCGACCGCCCGCTTTCCACCGGAGTTAAAACCCACTCATGACGGCTGCTGCAAAAATAAAGGATTGGCTGACAAAGCAGAACGAGGCTCACTCTGCCCTGAAGCTCCAGTTTCTTCTGTACATGTGTGGGTGTGTGTGTGTGTGCGTGTGTGTGTGTGTGTGTGTGTGCGTGTGTGTGTGTGTGTGTGTGTGTGTGTGTGTGTGCGTGTGTGAGTGTGCGTGTGTGTGTGCGTGCGTGTGAGTGTGCGTGTGTGTGTGAGTGTGCGTGCGTGTGTGTGTGTGTGTGTGTGTGTGTGTGTATGTGTGTGTCTGTGCGTGTGTGTGCGTGTGTGTGTGTGTGCGTGCGTGTGTGTGCGTGTGTGTGTGTGTGCGTGTGTGTGCGTGTGTGTGTGAGTGTGCGTGTGTGTATGTGTGTTTTGAATTTACCGCCAGCATTACTGATTTTGTCAGATCTGGGCTGAACAGGCTAAAATTAAACTCAAGTTAAAGCAGCTCTACTTTTTGTCAATTGGGCTAAAAATAGTTTTTAAAAGCTCAACAACAAACTAAATGTGCAAAACTCAGATTAAATAGCAGATCTGATGATGGGAATAGATGTGCAGTTTAGTCTAGAGGTGAATTTGTTTAGGATTTAGCTCTGATTTATTTACTTTGAAAAATATTTATTAATGTATGAATAACATGATATTAAAGGTCATTTGTGAATTCTGATCCAGTTGTTTTTAGCAGACTTGTTTGCTCTGCTCATTGTGGTTCTGACTAAAAGTCAAAACTAATGAGTTTCTAAAACATGGATACTGTCTGTCGCATCAATCATTTTCCATGATCAGGAGATTCTGTAATAATCTTGCATGAATCAGCTGCACAGTCTCCGGACCGCATTTGGCCCCCGCACAAAAACTCTGCTGCAGTTTTTGTTTCTCTGGTGAAGGTCAGAATCTTCACATCCACGTTTAAATGGAAAATATTTGGAGCACAAAGCAGTGACTCATAACCCGGAGCGAACAACCCAGAACGCGTCGCTGAAACATCTGAAAACGTTTTCTGGCTCCGTTTGGTTCTTCTGTTGCTCCTGAACTCGATTCATTCTGGTTTTATGACGGTTTTCTCTCCGTCGGTCTGGACTGAAGCACACGCCACCTCCAGCAGCAGCAGGCGTCGTTTCATGGCTGAAGACTCGCCGGACAGGCATTTCCTGTGGGCGGGGTCAATCGTCCAGCCAGGAACCCGACTTCCTGTCTCTGAGCGGCGCCGCGTCTGGACCGACTCGTTCAAACCAAACTTCCCCCTGGTGGAGCGACGTGAAAACGTCTGACCTGAATGAGCCCCACGGTGGTGGCAGCAGCATGCTGAGGGGTTTGGTTTAGACAGATAAGGTTCCCTACTGATGTATTAAACATCAATCAATTCATTTTTGTTTAAAAAAGTTGATAATTCATTTTATTTTTATTTGAAATGTTTTGCACTTCCTGTGTTAAATATTAAGAATTTAAAGTCTGAGAATGTGTTCTTGGCTTATTATATGACTGGAAAATGACCTCAGAACAGCGTTATTGTTTATCACGATAACTTCTGGGATGATGTATTGTCTATGTTTATCGTAACAGGCCCAGTGAGGAGGCTGCAGCTTTAACTAGGACAGTTGCACAACACATGACTCATGATTCATGCAGCTTTGAGTTTATCGTATAAAATCCAGTAAAGCTGCTGAATCTGATGTTTGGCGTCAGAAAATGCCAGAAAAGCTTCGGTTATAAACCGACTGCGTTTCCCCTCAGGCGTCAGAAGAATCGGTTCCCTGCGACGTTGACGACTCCGTCGTGTTTCTGACCGAATGCTGGAGCAGCAAACAGGAAATGTGGGTCAGTGGGTTTTAACAACCCAGGAACAAAAAAATGCCAATTTGAAACGAATACAGGTAACTGGTGTTGCTGGGCGATAAATCGTCCCAGACGTTATCGTGATAAACGATAATTTTGATGTTTTGAATTATTTCCAGTAATACAATGATGCCAGAACACATGATCCCTCCTGCTAATGAACATTTAACACGGGACAGAAAGACATTCACATATCCAAAATTAACAAAACAGACAACAAATAAAATCAATTATAAATTCTCTGTAAACAAAAATGACCTTAAAAAACAATTAGTTGAGACCAAAATACCAAACTAAAACTTTTATCATCCAGTTTATGGTAGAAAGAGAAACATTATACATTTTAAAAATGGGAATTGAGTTTTTTAATCATGTGATCATAATCATTAATTTATTGCTCATTGTGACACTAACTGTATCCAACATTTAAAAGAACTTAAAAACCAGAACCAGCCACCGGACCTGCAGATGAAACCATCCAGGTTGGAAAATATAAATAAAAATACAGATTTTACAAATGGCTGTTTTTAACAAATTATAGTCAAGTTTTTTTTTTTTACAGAAAACTTGTCTATTTGCTGCTTTTCTTTCTCGTAGAATTAAAGTTTGTGGAGTTTTTGTGGGAGTCTGCTGCCCCCTTGTGGCCAAACAAATCCCCGCAGGACCAGATTTATTTAAATTGTTTATTTAAGGAAGAAAAATGGAAAAATCTTTTTAAAACATGTTGGATGATGATGGAGAGTTACAGCCACACACAAAACAATAAATAAATATATATATCTATGAGGACAAAGTCATAACGTTAAGAAAAGAACAATAGAGTTATATTTCTATAATTATACTTTGAGAATAAAGTAATATGACTATTATTGCAATACTGGAACTTTACGCTTGTATCATTTCGACTAACGTGTCATAATTCTGACTTTATTTTGATATTGAGTTTATTCTTAACTTTGACTATTCTCATAATATAAATTTAGGAGGCTAAAGTAATACAATTATTTTTTTAATGTTCTCAACTTTATGACTTCATTCTCTTATATTTTATTCACTTTATTTTCATAATGTTGTGACTTTATTGTTTTCTGTTCTTGCTGTGGCCCCTGGTCGTTTCTCTCATTCTTTCTTTTTCTCACTCAGTGAGTAGAGAAGCTCGATTTGCTCGGCGTCCTGGAATCCCGGCCTGCAGGGAAACAAAGATGGCGGTAGAACCTGAAGCCGAACGGCCGTCGGATGTTTCCCGGCTCTCACCGTCCGGGCGTCTCCAGGATCAGCGGGAGGCCGTCCAGCCTCGGCTCGTTGACGACGTCCCGGAATGCTGAGAGCCCGATGTTTCCTGTCCCGATGTCTTCATGGCGGTCCAGGTTGCAGCCCAGCTTCCCTGCAGAGCGCAGACCCAGGTTGAACAAAACCGTTATGAAACAGTTGAAGCAACTGGAACTAAATCGCACTAAAACTGAAGTTACAGTTATGATATCTTTTGTTTTTATGTTTATGAATCGATTTATCAGGCTTTTGAATTGATGTGAAATTAATTTTTTCCCCCACAGAAGCAGTTTACGGCACGCAGCGTTTATTCATGCAAGACCGCAAAGGTTTGGAGAAAACGATACCAGTTTTTAGAAATGTTATCTTCTGTTAAGTTTTCATTTCCAACCAATCAAATATAATCACATTGATGAACCTAAAAATTAATTAGCAAATGAAAAAACTAAAACTCCTGCTATAACTAATAAAAACAAAACAATATCTAATTAATAAAAACTAACAAACACTGAAAAAACGAATTAAAACAAACTGAGTTGAACTGTGAAGAAAACCCAGAATTATTGGATATTTCAGGTTTTTCCAGCTGCACCTTTGGAGTCGTTCAGGTGAAGCGCTCTCAGGTAGCGAAGCCCCACCACCTGATCAAATTGATCCAACATGGCCGCCACGCCGCCGTCCACTGCCAGGTCATGACCTTCCCAGAAGAAACAGGAAACGATCTGAAAGGTTTTGAGCTCGTGCCTCTGGTGTGAGGGGAAGTGGAGGAGCGTTACCTGCGGCGAAGGCGTGGCAGGTGTCCAGACACACCCCCACTCTGCTGCGGTCCCTGACCCGGTCGATGATCCGCCGCAGCTCAGAGAACCGACCCCCCACTGTGCTGCCCTGACCGCTCATGTTCTCCAACACTGAGCCGCAAGGAAACGAAGCATTTATGTCTAGTTGATGATGCCGACGTCGTGGTACAAAACTAACTTAAAGTAACTTTCAGGAAGATAAAGGAGCTTATTTTAATAAATCCTTAATATTGACGAAAAAGTTTTAGTTCAACTGATTATTATTTCACTCATAACGTGGAAAAAATATGTGCAAATAAATTAAATAATCTGCCAGTGTAACTAGAACTTATTCATCAATGTTAAGGATTTACTGACTTAAAATAAATCATGTGTCTTGCTGAAAAGTTAGTTGGTTTTGTCTTATTTGAAGTGTAGTAATTTACATTCTAAACTATCCATAAATACCAGGTTAGAGTTTGCAGAGCTTTTTGTGTTGATTGTCGCCTCGTTGTGCAGCAGAAGCAGCTCTGATCTGGATGTTTTTGTGCTTGTTGTTGCTCCGTACCTGTGACCACAGCAGGAGTTTGCTGGTGAGCGTGGTTGATGGCAGCGGCGATCTTGTCCAGGCACTGCTGCGTGGTGATGGCGCCCAGCGAGGATCCGGGGTGGAAGTTGTAGAGGCGGAGGCCGAGGCGGCTGCAGCGGCTCAGCTCGTCCACCAGCAGGGCGCGGCTCTTCTCACACACGTCTGCAGCGGAGCGGAGACTGAGAGGACCGGCCGCCCTGAGGCCACCGGCACTCTGAAGGACAAACCGTCTTTGGGCGATCCGCAGTTCATCAGGTAGGAGCCGTGAGGCAGGATGTGAGCCGGGTCGAAGCCGAGCACGGAGCAGTTTTCCTGGAACCGGTCTGCAGCGGCCGGGTCCAACGCCGGCCTCTTCCACGAGCGCTGAGAGCCCAGAAACAGAGCGAAGGCGCCGGCGCCGAGTGCCGCGCTGGACTCCACCGCCTTCCAGATACCTCCTGCAGAGAGCGCCAGTAGATGGAGTTATCCTACAGGGCTGTTGGTGACAAACTGACCACGTTTCCTCACTTTCTTCTTCTACTGCTCTCCCATTTGCACAATTTGCTGTTATTTAAATGGTTAACTTTCTGTTTTCATCTGAGATGTTGCGGCCATCAGCTGCTGCTGCTGCTGCTGACCTAAAACTGGTCTGAACTCATTTCTCTGCCACAGAGATAAAATATTCTGCTGTAGGAAGTGAAGTTTACCTTGAATACCAACATGAGCGCCGATGTATTTGTTGTTCATCCTGATCCTCCTTCGCCGGCCTCCTCTCTCCTCATCCTCAGTTTCATCTCCCAAAGCTTCACTTTCCCTTTTCCTCCCTGCTGCTGCCATCCTGTCAAGAAAACGTTACGAGTTGAAATCACAGCTACAGATCTGCTTTTGTGATTTTAGTTCAAAGGATCTGAGATGTATGGAAGAATATTAGGGCCACTGAAAAAAAAAGAAATCTGAATTTAATCTTAGAAATATGAGAGAAAAGATAAAATTCTGATTTAAGAAAAAGAAAATGTTGGATTTCTGGTGTTAAATGTTTAATTGTGAGCAAAAAGTGAAATCCTTTTACTGAGTTTTTAATTAGGGGGTTAAAGAAGTCATTTTGTGGAAAAAAAATAAATTCTGAGATTAAATCAGAATTCTGACAAGAAAAGTTACAATTCTTGGATTAAATGTTTAATTCTGAGATTAAAGTCAGAATTCCAAGAAAAGTAAAATCAGAAACTGATTTTAATCCCAGAATTTTGACTTTATAAAAAAATATTTTGGAATTATTTCTGGAGATGATCTTGAAAATGTAACCGGTGTATACTAACAGAGTTCTTTTCTGGGAGTCTTATACAACTGGTTAACCTTGATATGTTCTGCGTTGTGTTCAATTGAAGAAGGGAGTCGGACCACAGGAGTTGCTGGTTCTTCTTTAATGCAGGTTACTGGCAGAGGCCTGGACAAAAAGAAATAAAAATGTCCTTTAACATGCAGCTCTTCCATTCACAGGAGTCGGAATTCCCCTCTTCTCAGGCAGCCAAGCGCCAACTGAAGCTAGTACAGTACTCTAGTTCTTGGAAATAAATTTACAATAATATAAAAGGTAGATTTCTTGGAAAATAAAAAAAACTGAAATAATCACATATCACAGATATTTTGTGCCCTTAATACAACCAGTTTAAACATTGTGGAACAAAAGAACCAAATACACATACCTGGACAAAAATAAATAAAAATGTCCTTTAACATGCAGCTCTTCCATTCACAGGAGCCAGAATTCCCCTAACAGATAAGCACATGGAGAAACCCTGTGACTAACTCATAACTAATAACAATATCTGCCCTAACATTTAAGTAAAATGTTCTTAACTCGTCCGAAAGAATGCTCCTCTGTTTGTATTAAAACAAATAGACATTCACAGCTGCATGTACATATAATTATTTTAAATATTTCATAAAATGTGAGCTCAACCAAAAGCAAAGAAAATTTCCTACCTCTTCTCAGGTAGGAAACTGAAGGTAGTACAGTACTGATGTCATAAGATGCTCTCTTAAGGTGACAGCACAGATACTGGTGCTTATCAGAATAAGTAAACTAATACAATTCTTAAAATATAATAGGAAAATAAGATTCTTCAGAATTAATCAGGATTTGGTGGAATTTCAAACATTATAATAAAAATAAATAAAAGCATATTTTCTAAAGTTGTTACACAAAGAATGATTTTATATAAAGTCATTAAAATTATTTACAATCCTGACCATCCTCTTTATGAGATTGTCTTAGAAAAACAGCGTCTTCAGTCAGAGGTTTCCTGTTATTCGCTGTGAAACAGACCGCTACAGGAGATCTTTGTTGCTAATAACCGTCACCATCTAAAATGACTAAACAATTTGAACGACATTTTATTTCCCATTGGGATCAATAAAGTACTCTTACATTTTTACCGTATTTAGCTGCCTGAGCTGAATGAACTCGTTTAAACAAACCAAGAGAGAACGATTCCCCGCAGCTGTTTCTGGAACAACATGCAGTAAAAAACTTTCTCACTTTAAGTGTGTAAAGATACGTCCCTCTGGCGGATTACGGCTTCTTAAAAAGGCATAAAAGGCTCCCTCCGACTCTCCATCTTCTCACTCTTTTTCTGAACGACACCGGGACGCTTCCGTCCGGAAGAGACGACGCAAAGCGGCGTGAAATCAGCGTGAGGTCCGTGAAGGTCAGCAGGCTGTTTTACCGATTCCTCCCGCCGGGATCCGGCCAGTCAGAGCGCTTCCCCGCAGCTGCTTCGGGCTGCCCATTGGAGACGCTACATGCTGAGCAGCAAAATGGCCGCCCGTCAACCGACTGACTCCACAGCGCTTTGAAATTTAAATTCTTCTGCACATCAGCGTTTGGACTTGGAACATTAATACTTATTTGCAAACCGGTAGCCTATTATTTCTTAGTGTTTTCATCATTTTGCGCCAACTTGACTCTCCGCTCAGGCGTCCAAGTCCTTGTAGCCTCGACGAATGCCTGAAACAGAGAAAGCTCGCACTGAAGCACTTTAGCTAAGCTAGCTAGCAGGCTAGCCAACCTTCATATGTGATTCCTGAGGTGAGTCGCTGGTGCCGCTGATAGCCGCTGGTTCGGGTCAGAGACGGTGTGCAGAAATACAGCAGCTGTCAGAGAAATGCGGTGCTTGTAGCCCTGCTAACGCCTTTAGCCGCGGCTTTAGCCGCTGTCAGGAACCGAGCTGAATGTAGCGGAGCTTTGTAGCAGATCTGGGGGTTCGGCCTTCTGTGTTTGCTGGTACCAGTTAACCGAACCGAACACTGGGTTGGCTGGTTAACACGTTACTGGGCGCGTTTGTTTGACCAAAGACTGAAACCACTCCTTGGTGTTAGCATTAGCGGTCTAATAAGAATCGAGTTTGATAGGAACCAGTTCATTTGGGTTCCTGGTTCTGTCTGTGAATTTATTATAAAAGCCTTTTGTTGCATTTTACCCCTCAGTCCTTTTCCAGTCATTCTGACTTTCAGCTGCTCTGCAAGCTGAAGGGATTGGAAGAAGGAATCTTGCTTGAACATTTGGCCCCTGTCACCTGGGGGCCACTGGGGTTCACTGGGGCCCACTCGGGGTCTGACTGACGGGAACATCAACGTCTGGGTGAATCTGAAGGCCTGAGGTCAGAAATGCTTCAGTCAGATATCAGGTTGAGCTCAGGAATCCTGAGGGTTGGAAAAATCAAAAACGAAACTAACATCCAGGGCCGGCCCTGCTGCTCACAGAACCTTCCTGTTTATCTCTGACTTTATGCTCAGGCTGTCCTTATGTCTCCTGTGATTATAAGTTTTGGCATTTATCTGATGCCAACTCACATTTTCATTGAGTTTATTTATATATAAATGCAGCTTTCATGAACAAGGCATCTGCCTCTAATGTCTACATATTTATATGTTCTCAATACTTTTCAAACAAATGAATTCTGAGAGTTTTATTTGTCTGTACAGATGTAGATGGATGGTTGTTTTTCTAAGGCTCTACGATATAAACAGGTTTATGATTTGGTTTTCCTGCCGATGTCAAATCACAGACCAGATCCTGCTGTTTTTTATGAAGGATGCTTTTTATTTCAGTATAAGATTCTCTACTTGTCAACCCTGATAAATCTCACAGGTTTACTGTTTCGTGTAGATTTAAAACAAAATGTTCTGCTCAAATACTTTTATTTGCATAAAAAAGCTGCGATTATTCGTATGGCTGATAATAAAACATTTATTATTCCAGTTACTTTGCATCATTCAGTGGTTGTTTAAGGGCAACTATTTAATTCACCAGTAATCACCAAGCAGCTTGTGCAATGCTTAAATCATTTGAAAAGTAAATTATTATATTCTACTTTAGCTGTTGAGTCACTGAGCTAAAGCTGGACTTTATGGTGATATGTTCAGTTTTTTACAGATGTATGGTGACATTAAAGACTTAATAAAATTATGTACTTCACTATGATATTATGGTTTCTTGCAGTTTTGTTGTTGATTGAGTTGCAGTGGAAATATAACGAGCTGATTGGTCAGAGTGTTTGGCTAGCCTGCAGTCTGCTGCTTTACAGTCATGCTAACTGAACTTTCTGAACCTTATTAAGCTACTCTTAGTTTCCAAATCCTGATATATCCTTTTACAGTTGAGCTTTCTTTTTCTTTTTTAAATAAGTCTTTTTTTTTTTCTTTTTTTTTTGTTCTTTTGTAGAAGGGAGAATCTGGTCAGGAGCAGCAGTTCATGGAAGACAAGAAAAGGAAAAAGGAAGACAAACGGAAAAGGGAAGCCTCTCAGAAGGCAAGTCAATCTGCAACCATTCCAGTGATTCAGATTCTCAAAGAAATTAATTACGCAAAATTATGGGTTCAAAATCAGAATTACAGGAAATAACTAATGAACCTCTTAAATATTCCTAATAGGCTTTGATTTCTTTGGATGCTGTGGTTGTTTTGGATCTTCTGACTGAGGAGAAATTATCCAACTTCTGAATAAAGAGCTGATCCTCAACCTTTATTTTATTTATCTGAGCTAAAACTGTATGGAGATTTATTATGTTTGATTAGATTCAAGATCTCAACTTGTGAAAATATTTGAAAAAACTTCAATACTACAGATTTTATTCCAACAGCTTTCAAAATAATAATTTATTTGTGAATTATAATGAAAAGATTAATTTAGAAACATTTTGTATTCTTTGTTTCAGGTTGCAGAGCAAAAAAACAAAGGTAAGCTGAATTTTATGTTTTCATTTAACTGCTGTTTCTATATGTCTTGTTTTTATCTGTTGAATTATTTTTGATGTTTGTCCTTAAATTTCTTTTATTGTTTTCACATTTTTGCTTAAACAAAATGTTAACATTTGTGAGAAACAAGTTAGTTTTGATTAGATTTTTCTGCAGATGTTAATTATTTCTTATTAAATCCTAATTAAATAACTGGGGTGTTATTATTTTTCAATGTTTGGCTTAAAGAATAAAGAGATAAATTTTTAAAAATGCATATTTTTGTATAGTTTTCCACTCATTTGCTTGTCATTTCATGCCTGTTGGTTCTCCTCTTTCTGCTGCTGTCATGTAATCAGTATTTTCTCCTGCGCTGCAGTGACAGACGTGACCAAGCCGGCTGCTGCCCAGTCTCCCGCCGCCCAGAGCAGCTCCGCCTCCCCCAGCCCTGTGCCCGCCCCCACTGCTGCTCCGTCCCCGGCCGCCTCGGGCCCCGGCAGCGCTGCCCCCCCGGCTCCGGGCGGCAACAATGTCAAGCGCCTGGCCGTGGCCAACGGACAGCCCGCCTCCAACACCGGCTCTTCCTGCACCGCCGGCCTCGGCGCCGCTGGGAACGGCGGCGCGGGTGGAGGCGGAGCCCCGGCGAATCAGCAGCCGTCGCGCTACATGCCGAGAGAAGTGCCGCCGCGATTTCGCTGCCAGCAGGACCATAAAGTGCTACTGAAGAGGGGGCAGCCGCCGCTGTCCTCCATGCTGCTGGGAGGAGGGGGGGATGGCCCAAACACAAACATGGCTGCTGCTTCAGGTAACGCGGCGCGCTCCTTTACGCTGCAGGTTGTGATGAGCAGACATCACACAACTGAACAATTCAGAGACACAGATTTTATGGTGCTACTTTAGAAATATTTCCAAGGAATTTGCAATATATTTTCACGTTAAACTGCGTCCAATGTTTACATGTGGAAGAAAAAACATGTAGATAAAAAGAACAACACATATTTGAAAAGAAGATAATTATTATTTAAAGATTTGAATAACTTGATTATTGTTATATTGCCGATATTATATTATTATCAGGTAAGGCAGACGCAGCAGTGTAGTAGACAAAATGATATTGCCACCTTTTGGGGGATTTTTGTAAAAATTTCCACGGTTGTGGAATTGTAAAACACTGGAGGGACTGAGTAATGCAAGAAGTTTTAGTACAAGTATGTTTTCCCTCCTGACGGTCAGGTCGACCCGGTTCTACTGGAACCAGAACATCTGCTCCATCTGCTGTGGTTCTGACCCAAACCAGCCTGCACCCACAGGTTGGGGGTGCAGCGCCCCCAACCTGTGGGGGCGCTGCACCAACAACCACTGCAGGAAACGACACTAAAACCTCTGAAGACACTGAGAGCAACTTCCTGTTTCACCAGATGAACCAAGATGGAGGCGTCAGAGTTTAGTGATTTCTCTTTAGTGTTTGGCTGAAGACCAGGAGCCATTTCTGCTGCTAATGCTAGGCTAGCATGTTAGCATTGGTTGTATTTACCCAGAATGCCTTGCGCCAAAGACTAAAGAGAAATCCCCCAACTGATTTTTGTGTCGTTTCCTTCAGTGGTTCTTGGTTGGTTTGACTCAGAACCACAGCAGCTGGAGGTGGAGCAGATGATGGAGTTCGGGTTCCAGTAGAACCGGGTCAACCGGACAGTCAGGAGGGAATTGCAATTAGACTCAAACTGCTCTGTTTGACCCTTGCTGACTTCCTGTTCCTTTCTACAGATTCTACATCTTCATTGGCTCTCACCTCACCATCAGTTGCTGCTTCTACTAATAATTATGCAAATTCCATGTGGGGGGCAAGCTCAGGCAGCCAGGCCCCCTCTCAGGGCAAGGAGAAGGTCATCGTTGACGGCAACGACCTGGAGGAGTGGCCTAGTATTGCTGGCAGTGATGGAGGAAATGGCGGCATGCCTGTGACGAGCATCGGTGCCTCTGGCAGCCAACCCTCACCCACATCCTCGTTCTCTTTGCCCAATGAATGTATGCAGTTGCCTAACAGTGCGGCGTGGGGGTCAACTGCCCCCCAGGGTCATCTTGGAGGAGGTGCAGCTGGGCCTCCGCTGCAGCAGCCCTCCTCTGTTTCCAAAGCCCCTGCTGTGCCCGGGTGCCACGACGCCAGTGGCCCCCTGGATGGTAGCAGTGGAATTCCAGGTGCCAACTTCAGTCCAAATGCCAACCCTTCAGCCTGGCCTGCTCTGGTGCAGCAGGACGGCCCCACCGCTGCCAACAACGCCGCCTCCTTGGGCCTGGGGGGCGGGGCTGCTGGAAGCCTGGGGGGTCACCCATCTATATCTGTGAATCAGTCAAGCGCCCATCAGCACCAACTTCACCAAATGCAATCCAGAGACAGAGACGTTGGAGGGGGGAAGAGGGACGGTGAATCAGCGGGACCAAATATTTCAGGGGGGGAAGGGATTGGGGGAGGAATGGACCATGGTGTTGGGGGGAGCAGGGTAGGTGCAGG